AAGGTGTTTTAGAGATTATTTTTTTTTTTTTTATATAATATGTTTTTTTTTTTTTTTTTGTGGTTTTTGTGGATATAATTTTAACAGAAAAAGTTTTTTTTTTTTTTTTTTTTTTTTTAGGAAAAAAGAAAGAGAGAGAAACACGGAATTCGTCGAATAAAAAGAAAATCCGAATGTAATAATAGAAAGAAAAAAGTTGCGATAGCTTAAATCCGAAAAAGGGAATAATTGATCCAATGCAGAGAAAAAAAAAAGAATAAACGAAAAAAAAAAAAATAGGGACAAAAAAGTCCTTTATTATAACAGAAATGTTTTTCTTAAAGGGATAAGTAAAACAGTTTAAACGTGTCCTTGAGTGTCCAATGAGCAAGCCATGTTCGTGACATTTGAAGTCTTCAAGGATGGTATTTCGGTCACATTATTGAAAGAATGTCGTTTAGAAGGATTAATAGTAGATTGCGATTTTTTCATAACAGGAGACAAGGGTAGTGCACAATCAGTTGATTCGTGATGAACTGGAATCTGAAAACCAGAAGAAGGTTTTCTATAGAAAGAATATAGACTACCACTAAAAGAAGTTGTAGAAGTACCAGTACTGCTACTCTTTGTCGGTGTAGAAGAACCAGATGAGAGAGGAGAGGCCGGAGGTGTGAGATAAGCGTACGCTGACAAATGGTCTTTGAAACGACATTCTTCACTGCAATATAAAGAATCCTAGAGAATAGAAAAGAATAGAAGAAAATAGAAAGAACGTATACAAGTAAAGATCAATTAAATGCATCGCAGAGTTATGAAGACGGATAAAGACAAATAACAATAAATAATAGTAAATAGCAGTAAAAATAAATACCTGGGTCTTTTGTTCACAGATCAGACACCAGTCAAGATCCATTTTAATCAATTATTGAGAACGTAAAAAAATGAATCGTATTTATCGAATATATGGATATATATATATATACTATATTTATATTATATATATACATATACTGTATATACATATATAGATAGATAGATAACTGATAAAAACGGATATGCAGCAGATACTAAGGAGACGTGTTATGAAGTTATAGTTGTTTTAGGAACAACCAAGATAAAAAATATTGAGCGTAAATTAAATCACAGACGTTAAAAAAAAGAAATAGTTTAAAAAAAGACAGAACCCAAAAAGAGAGAACAGTAGAGGAACAAGAGAAATTTAATGGACCGATAAATGAGCAAACTAAAAAAAAATTAGAAATCAAAAGTCACGAATTCGAATGATTTCAAGAATTAAAACAACACGATTAAACAGCAAGAGGTCTTGAAAACAAGACTTTGCGTGACAAAGTGTTGAAGAATGTGTGTCTTTATGAGTAGCGTTCCGTTTAGAGGACAGGAAGCGGACACACTCCCTTTAGTTGCTTCTCTCGTAAAACCTCAGTCTCTATCTTTTTCGAGGACGACAAAAAGAAGAAAAGGGTGTGGGAAAACAAAACAATGGCGTGAAAGAGGCCTATTTATATTGTTGACCCAAGAACTTGAATAATTGCACTCGCATTTTTTTGTAACGATTGATTGGAAGGTGATTGTAACGAGGGAAAATAAATCAACAAAAATTTTTTTTAAATTAACATTTTATTAATTGGGATATAATCAACTAAATTTGATCATATATATCAGGTTAATTGATGTGAAATTGTTTGTATTACCGAGAATCAATTCACCAATTTACCAAATCATTATTGTGTTGTTCTATAGTCAGTCGGTTGAAAATTATAGTTCTGCGGATTAGGAAGTGATTTTATACGATTAGGACATGCGATACCGAGCATGCAAAACGTAGCGAATGTGAAGTAACATGGCGCATTAAAATTGCATCGACATTATCGATCGTATCTCTTTATAAACGGTATTAGAAACAGGAGGAAAAGATAAATGGGTGATAGCGTGCAGAGAAACCATACCCAGTGACCAATTTGTGTTGCAAGAAATAGATAAGGAGAGACGAAAATGAGGTTTAAAATGTGATGGAAACAGATACCAAATCGATTATTATTAAGAATGCACGAAAATCGCAACTTGGTTAAGACATGCAGGCGACTCAAGTGACCTTTCATTTTGAAGATGCATGAGTTATTACCAGTCCTATTTTGATAATAAATGCGCGATATTAATCGACGATTTATTACACTGTAATGACAATCTTTTATTATACTAGAATCCTTTTCGGAAGAGAATGGTCATACTGTATTATTAATATTATCATCTGACATTTCTGCGCAAAAAAAAAAATAATAAACTAACGAGATTTAAAATCGCTCGTGAGAGAATATCATGCAAATTGCCAATGCAATCAGTTGATTATGACTAATAAATGGTAAGTCCAAGAGAAAACAACAAAATCCATACATGCAGCCAAGTGGTCACAATCGAGAAAGATCTATAACGAGATGTGTTTGATGTAACAAATAATACTAATAAGTATTGTCACATTGTTTTTGAATATTCCCGAGTAAACAAACATAAACCAACATGCTGCTGCTGCATGACAAAAAGGTTACTGTAAGGAAATAAAACAGTACTTTATATCTTTATTATACTCTATTATACTCTATTATGCTCTATTATGCTCTATTATGCTCTATTATGCTCTATTATGCTCTATTATGCTCTATTATGCTCTATT